AAAATTAACTTATTTTTAAAATTAAACAGAAAAAAACAAATTGACAGTTATGTGATATAAAAATATTTTATTTTATTATAACTTACACACGTGACAAAAACTCAAATCTTAATATAAAAATATATTTTTTATGCCATGTGGCAATTAATGTGACATTTTTTGTCTAATTTTGAATAGGAGTTAACTTAGGAGTAAATTGAGAAAAATGTAAAATATAAAAAGTCAAAGTCGAAAAAAAAAATCAAGGAGCCAAAGTGAAGAATATCAAATATAACGGGCAAAGTGTAAAAACACTATATATATATATAATTTTTTGTGTTTGTGTTTTTTTTGTCTTCCGGATCCCAACTGTCTGAGGGTTTTGTTTATTATAAGTTCTTCTACTCCACCCCTCTCCCCCCCACCATTGTAGCCTCTACGTATTTTCTCCATTGTTCATTATATACACACACATCACCATATATACATATATATATATACATTCCCTCATCTTCCACAGCTAGCTTTCGAAGATAACCTTCAATGGCTCCTCTCGGAAGCAAAAACTCCGTACAGAGTAATAATCAACCTAACCGAAATCTATCCAATGACTACACCAAATCAGACTTCTTCTCCATGTTCCAATTTCTATCTATTCTATTTATGTGTGTGTGTGTATATATATATATGTATGCATGTATGTTGATATGATTGTACTCGTAATTCACCACACAGGAAGCAAAGGATTGCGCAGTAGAGAAAATCTCTACCAATTATCGCCGGTATTTTCTTAATGTTTAAATACTTTTGTCTTCTTATTCTTTTTAGGTGTATAGTTCCTTTCAATCCTTGTTATAATTGATTGTGATCGCTTTCTATGCAATGATTATTAACCTTTTAGTTCATAGGAATTGGCATTGTCTTTTAATTTTGAAAGGATATACAGACTTTTTTGTTGACTTTTTTTCGTTTAGTGATTGTTTTTTTTTTTGAAATTTTCAAAAAGCTTTAGACTTTTAGGTTCTATTTGACTAGACGAATAGGAAAGTAAAATCAGATTTGGAAAAAAGTCTGCTAAAGTGGTGCATCCCATCATACTGAAACACAATTTAGTACTTAACTATATGATTCAATTTTGTATATGTAGAATTACTCTTTGATAATAGTACTCATTAAACAAATGACGATTCAAGTGTCGTGTTACCTAGAGAAGCATTGATAAAAAGGCTGGCTCCTTGATGGCATTGGCATATAATTCTACCAGCAATCCTTGGGGGTGGAAATTATCTTTAGGTTTCCTTGTTTCACTCAGATTCAGTGCAACCCTTTCACTTAAAAAATGAAAGATTGCTTGCCAATTATTTCAGCGCTATTTTGGATGTTGGCTAAGTAAATGTTTGGTTACCTTGGGGATGAAATACTTGATATCTTGTCAAATTTTTGTTAAATGAAATTAAAGACCTATTATGAGTAGCAATTCTATTTCTCAACATCATTTTCCAATAATTTTAATCCAAATTCTCTTGTATACTAATTTTACATCACTTTAATTCATGGAGGCAAACAGTAATTTTAAAATAGGCAGTCATTTTAAACCGAAGAAGCCCACATCCTCATTCCTTCTATTTAGGTCAGTCATTTTAAAATATGTTATTAGCATCTATATATATACCTAACAAGATTAAAAGTAAATACCTAAAATTTTGGTCATTTTATTTTTATTCACAATGATGCTGGAATTGCTAGTAGTCACGAATGAGCCATATGGAGGTGAATCAAAGAATTAGCAGACATTAACAGTACAACAAAATGTAATGAAATTTTCTTTATATTTTCTTATACTATGTTATTTTTGTTGAAAATATAGCAAAGAGGCAAGGAAGAACTTGTTGGAAGAGAGGTCGGGAATTAATGACTCTACCCTTAATGCCCTCATTTCAGTGAAATGGGAGGTGTGAAATTTAACTGTCTGTTTGGGTAATTCTTTTTTGAAAATGTAAAAAGAAGTACTGAAAATTTTGGTTTTGTACTTGTAGGAATTGAGTGAAAAAGATAAGCAAACCTGGAATGAAAAAGCTGCAGGAGCCAAGTGTCACGCCCCGAGAATTTCTGTGACACAAGAAGTAGTGTTTGAGGTGTGCCGCAGGCGCTGGAAGGTTCCAGAAGGTGTGAGAACGGGCTAGAGTATGTTGGAAGGCTCTAGAACCTGGTGGAAGGGTCCGAAGTGGCCTAGAAGATTCCGGAATGTGGTGGAAGAACCTTGAAGGGTCCAACAGAGTCTGGATGGGTTTGGAACATCCTAGAATATCATGGTGAAGCCTACCATGTACTACACTAGTATAGGGAATTCTAGAAGGTAGTAAAAGGGTAGTTGTCTAGATATTTCTATGGAGGGTTCTAGAGGAAAGCTTGTAGCCCTTGGATCAAAATGATCCTAGCAAGCCATTGAGGAGGAGGATGGCTATATAAAGGGGAGGGATCTCATTTGTAAGGGATCCAAGAAAGGGGCCAAGAGAGGAGATCCAAGAGAGCTCTAAGAGTGAAGCACTTGTGAGTGTGAGAGCCTTGTAAAGCTTTGTACATAACTATACTTGTATAGTGAATACATTCTTCCACCTAAACTTTGTGTTTTAGTTAGTGTGGTCGAGTGGGGAAGGCTGACTTAGGTGCGACCAAGTGGGTTGATGAGCATCTAAGGCCATCCAAGGCCATGACACAAGGAGCCAAGATGGAATTGGAAGAGTATAACAAATCTGCAGCAATGGAGGAGGAAAACAACAACAACCCACAACAGTAAAAAGCAAGCTTGAATATTGATGAAGGAGGCTCTACTTCTGCCAATGTGTTCAAAACTAATTCCTTTCGTGTTAACATCTATTAATTACTACTGACCCCCCGGACATGTTAACATCGTTGATTTTTACTTTTTTTTGGCCATTTGAATGTTGAATCTGTAGTTCAAGATTGAATTAGTATGATGATTCAAAGTAGTTTGCAAAATCAACGAAGTTGTGTTTTCCAAACATTCCAACTTGTGTGTTGAATTAATTTGATGATTTAGATCAAAGTAGTTCCCAAATCAATGAAATTGTTAAAATACTCACTTCAGTTATTGCAAGATGTTGTTCTATGTTGTGGAAGGTGATTTTAAATGTTAATGTATGGATAAAATTATATTTGAACTATCAAATTTTAGAAATTCATTACTTCAAAATATTTGGACACTACTAATCAAGCACTAGATTTTTTTCATTACTCAAATTTTCAGTTTTATATAGCTCTTAACTGATTGTTTTTGTTTCATCCTTGGGAGGATGCAACCTGATTGCTAAGAAAATAAATGCCCCAGCTCCCGTTTCAGTTTAGTTTATCTTTCCAATTTGTTAAACAGGAAAGCTTTAGCTGAACTCCACACTTCTAATCTCCTACTCCTCGGCTTTGTTCTAAAGCATCTCAGAAGAATAACTTGTCTATTGTTCTCAGTTCTTGTTGCCTCTGGCTTCACAAAATGCATTTGCTTTTCTATCTTTTCTTTTGCATTGTCACCTATTCATCCTGTTTCCTTTATTTCTGACTGCATAACATTCTTGTGACAAAGCATAGTTGGACCTTTTTTCCGTAATTGACATGGACATTTGAAGAATGAAGTTCATATGATGCTTTTAGATATAATTCTCTCTTTCACCACTTGCTTGAGACATAATATTTTTATTTCTATTAATTGAATATTCCAACTTGTAAAAGAATCTTCCAAGGAATGTTACTATACAACAAAAGCCAAGACAATTCTTTTCATGTTCACATCTGTTAACTACTACTTTCCAAGGAATGTTCAAACTATATAACAAAAGCTAAGTCAAATCTTTCCTATGCTTTGGGTCTTTTGCATATATCTAAAGAGTTATCAAGATTAAAATTGCAGATTTGCCTTGTTCAATCTAATGCCAAACAAGAAAAACTCACAGCTAAAAACTCATCATTTAGGCTTATAAATTTAGATTTTTTAGTAAGTACATGGACACAACCATATAAAACTATGGGTTCCACACTCTAATAATATGCATAGCAAGATTATGTTGTTTTTCATTGTTTTAGTTGTTCATTTTTCCACTATTTTCTCTAGTATTTTAAATTTGAAATTAACTCAAATATGTTTTTTTTTTCTTAATGTTGCTTTAGAAATTCACTATTTTGAATTTTCTCTAGTATTTCCACTATTTTGAAATTAACTCATTTCTTGTGACTCTTGAAATGGGTGAATTGTGTGGTGAATTTATGAATCTAAATGACGTGAGTTTTTTGATTCCACGTATCTTTAGGAAGAAATAGTTGTGGATGTAGTGGTGGGTGTCCAAACAATTATCATGTAGATCATTTTTAATGGAGTAGTTAAAATTGTGGTTAATTAATAAAAAAATAATAAAAGTAAAACTCAATTTTGTGTTAAGAGCATCTGTAACATTTATTCTTTTTTGTTTTCATCAAATTTGAGTAAAAAATTCATTTGATATCGAGCGTTCTAATAAAAAAAATTCTTTTTCGTCAAACTACCGATCAATTGGGTGGATGTCTGGCCCGTGGACTGGTTAGTGTAAATTTATGGAAACTCTTAAGCTAGTTGTCCAGTATATGATTCTAATGGCTATCACTTGTGGTGAAAAATGTTATGAACCATTTTGATAAGAAAAATTGTGGCATATTGTGATGTTTATTACTAATGTTATGAATCATTACGGTTGGTTTGTTTCCCAAGAAAATTTGGTAATTTACTTTTGTGATTGTTATTTGGTCTTTCATATTTGGTGGTGCTGATGTGAGAAAAGAAAAGTGGTTAGAAAAAAATTTTATTTTCTTTTTTGCTAATAGTTGAAGCTGTTATGCTCATTACATGCTATAGAGCACATCTCTGCATTTTATTTTCTTTGTCTATGTGCATGCGGGTGCATATGTACTGTTATGATGCCTTCTGTTAGTTTGATACCAAAATGTTTTCTCTTAATAAAATAGACACTGTTTCTTTGTTGTCTTAATTTTTTTGGTGAAACTACTGAGGGGGGAAAAAGACAATAGAAGTGTTAATGCAAAACTAACCATTGTTATTTAACAATGAACCAGCGATTTGGAAATATGGCATCATTTATGTGTAGTTGCTTACTTACATATGTCACTTGTTCTTGAAATGCAGAAAAGAGCAAGATATTCGTGTAGCCTCTCAGCTTTTTATGCTTATGGACTCCAACAAACCCACATCAAGATCTGTGCCACAGGTGGTTGTGGTGGCATCTATTAACATCCCCAAGCATCCTATACAAAGTTTTTTAGAAGAGAGAGAAAAATACGAAAGTAAAAAAGCAAAAATCCTAAAGCTATGGTATGAAACCCAGTCAACCTAGCCGATGACACTGTGAAGCGCCCTGGGAAGGAACCCCCTCATCATTGAGTCACTGCATTATGCAAATCCATGTTAACCTTGCATTCATGCTGCTGTCGTCAACGCCTCCCACCACTATTACGACCTTCTCTATCTGCCAAACCTCCCACCACCAGTCTTTCTCTCTACAAAAATTCACCTCCAAACTTTTCCAGGTAACATAGAACCCACCTCCAAACTTTTGCAGTGCAACAAAAAAACATTGTGTTTTGTTTCTTTCAATGGAAAATTTATATTTGAATATCCTCATGGCCTCTTTAACTTATCCTTACCCCTTATCCCCTGGTGGTTGCATGCTTGCACTCATCCATAGTAAAAAGAGAGACATACATGTTTCATAGTTTTATATATGTAACTGAAATTTAATAAGAAGGAAACTCAAAGCAACTGAAAACACTAACGGATTGTAAAGGGATAGACAAGGGAAGAAGCCAATTTTTTGTTTTACTTATTTTCTCTTTATTGAAGGCTGTGAAGTAAATATTGTATATAACCTTTTGGTGTCCTGTTCTTGTGAGGTAGCATATCTTTCATCTCTGTCAAAGTTACCAATCCAATTTAGAGACAAAAACCATAGCTAATTCCTTCAATATTTTCAAATTGAGCACTGTCATTTTTGGATCTTATTGCTTTGCATCATTTATCAGATCCTTAGAATTTTAGCCTTAAATTTAACATATATTATGAGATTTATGCTTGCCTTCTGGTTTACATGTACAAAGAGCGGATGCAATTGACCCTGCACTAAGAAGGTCAGGGCATTTTGACACTGAGATTGAAGTTACAACCCCTAATGAAGATGAACGATTTCAAATACTTAAGGTAAATTGAATTTTCAAGAGTTTTTGTTTGGAAATTGTTCTGTAGCACCCCTCACCTTTGGATAACTGTTACCGTTACTCAGCCCAACGTTGAATTTATGGAGTTGGAGGCAATAATGCTCTTTTCTTATAACATTTTGCAGCTCTATACAAAGAAGCTTCCTTTGGATCCCAGCGTTGACTTGCGATCCATAGCTGCATCTTGCAATGGCTATGTTGGGGCTGATTTAGAAGCTTTGTGTCGCGAGGCTGCCATGTCTGCAGTAAGAAAATCTTCAGATGCAAATGAGGAAGCTGGTATGCGTAGCTTAACAATGGATGACTGGAAGCATGCAAGATCTGTCCTTGGTCCAAGCATAACAAGGGGTGTTACTATGGAAATTCCCAAGGTTTCTTGGGAGGATATTGGAGGATTAAAAAATTTAAAGGTTTGTGAACATTACACAATCAGTTGAGGCTGAAACTTTTACTGACCCCTGCCAGTGTCTCTATATGTGGTACAGAAAAAGCTCCAGCAAGCTGTTGAGTGGCCTTTAAAACATTCTGCTGCATTTTCAAGGCTTGGAGTATCACCTGTTTGTGGGATTCTTCTTCACGGACCTCCAGGGTGCTCAAAAACCACCCTTGCCAAAGCTGCTGCTCACGCTACCCAAGCTTCTTTTTTTTCCTTGAGGTTTGATCATCTTTCATTAATTTCAGCAAGATAGGTTAAGAGCATAAAAACTTAACATAACTACAAATTTTAAGATGCGTTGTGAAAACCTTGTGGGTAGTTCAAAGTATGGATACTGTTGTATGTTACTTCGCTCAAAATTGGAGCCAAAAATTTATCAAAGTCATAAAAGCTCTGGCTGAAAACTTCTTCAAAACTACTTGTAACAAGTGGAATAGTCATCTCAAATGGGGAGTGGAATATTAGGTTATAAAAATTTAACCTTCTTAAGGAAAATAGGGCAAAGAAGAAGAAAAAAAATTTGGATATCTTGGGATTAGGTAGGATTGGTTAAATAATCATGTTTTGCCTGGATAGAAGCCATTCAGGAATGTTTCCAGTTGATATTGCCAAATTGCTTTTAGGCGGTGGTATCTTTTCTCTCAGAGCCTACTGAATAAAATTAATAATTGAGACAAGTTTTAGCGTTAAACTAGTTGTTTTGAAGACTTTGTGTACTGAATTTTTAATGAAAATTTTAGGTTTTTTTTTTTTTTGAT